GGAAGAAGAAGGAGAAGAAGAAAAAGGGTAGAAGAGGGGTGAGGGGGAGAAGAGGGGGTGGAGGAAGAGTCCTCCTCGTCCTCCCCTAAAACCCCATAGCGGTTTGAGAGTGCCACCATAGGGTACAATACGGTCAATGGCCGCCTATGAATCAAACAATACAACAAAGCTACCTTCTCAATGATACGCAGTTAAAACGTTAATTGAATCGTGAATTTTTGCTCACTCAAGTTCTACAGTGAAAACTAACTGCCAATCTACTTACTAGTGATAACACAGAGATTTTCTTCACATGTCGTCGGTCGCCTGATGAAATCGTGAATTCCACACCAAGCAAATTTTACAGGAGATGCAAAAAACTGATTTTCTCCGTCATTTGGCGTTCAAGATATAAACTAACTTTTATACCCCGTGAATGGCTGAATGATCATCTTTCATTATCTTACTCTTTTTGCCTCTCAGATCCTGAAAATTACTCTTTGCCATTTATAAGGAGAATGATGCAGTGGTGGGGAACTGTTTATTAAGTTTTTCTTGTCTCTGGACTTTAGAAGACTCTTCCACTCTTCGTTAGAGTTAAGTTTGTAAAGAATTTCTCCTTATGTATATCAGAGGCTTCATGCTGCATTAACAGCTTGGTCTTCTCTTTGTCTACCCGACCTGACAGTTTTGTGAACTGCAATTTTGACAAAATCATGGGGGAAAATGTGATCCACAAATTTCACTTTATATGGTCTTCGTTTATATAATTTAAAAAATTGCAGTTCTGAAAATGTCTTTTATTTAAAGCCCCAGCTCAATGACGCCGTGCATACTTTCTACGTGCATATGAGTGTAGCCTGTAATAAGATTTTGTTTACAAATTCGTGTTTGCTCTTAGTGGAAAAGACACTCACGGGATTAGAAATAGATGCAATTTTGTGCTAATATACACGCACTCACACACGCACACACATACACACACATAAACACACACACACACACACACACACATACACACACACACACACACACACACACATACACACTCACACCTGTAGCTGTATAATAATATATACCTTCTATGCATTTGTGCACTTTGAAAAAAAGTCTATCAAACAACTTGTGAATTCATTTGCAATCAAACCACCTTGTGCCTTGTGTCATAAGTAATAGATGGCACCATACGAGGTGGCGTTGAAGATTATGTGCATGTTTCTGTAACAGGAGCTTCAGGAATTAATAGACAGTGCCAAACGTACACCCTGAAGATTCATCCAAATCATCACAAGGTCTTCTTGCCTAAGAGGAAAGGTTTTATCCATGGCGTGCCCTTTTCTTGTCTGTTTCTTTTCTGACATGTGAGACGTTGTCAAGCCTCAAAACTCACGCACAATTCATATTAATCTTTTTTTTTTTTGTAGCTCACAGATCGACATGGTCTTTTTTATTCTAGCACATATTTGAGTAGTCTGACTTACACGGCAGATTGTCCATGACCTGTGCAGGCGGTTTCGTAAAACCAATGAAGCTCTGATAGATTACAGAATCAGGGATCGAGATACAGTTTTCCAGAGCTTTGTAGGCAATAGGTGAGTGAGAACTTTCAGAAGCATGTCCACAGATGTTAACAGAAACTTCTTGGCTTGCACGACCCTTGTGGATTGTTTGGTGGTGCAGCTGGGTTGGGCTCTTCTAAAGCACTCTCTACAAAGTACTGGAGGGTCCAGATTGTCACCAACAAGTGCCCGAGGAAGTTCCTCAGGATCAGATGGACAAACAGAGACAGCAATGAGGAAGTAATGAGCAAAAAATTTTCAGACAGAAGAAAGCAGTGGAGATGGACTG